TAGCCGCGCGGCACGGGGTTCGCACTAGCCGGCTTTTAAAAATGGCGGCGCCGGCTTTATGCTAATGAAGCCCGGGAAATTCAAATCCCGGGCTTCATTAGCAAGTTCGGGATGCATACATTACCCCCCTAGTTCGAACTAGGGGGGTAGTGTAGACATACCCTTTGAGACTACTCAATGCTTAGAAGTCCTTGGGGTGTTTGGAGCTTGGGGTCAGAAGTCCTTGGGGTCCTTGGGGTGTCTAGGCTATGTCTACACTTTGAGGAAGAAGCAATGCAAATGAAGTGCTCATTAGCTTTTTCTCATGCTTCATTTGCATAATCTCTTCTGATCTGTTTTGTGTAAGAGGTTTTTGCGCAAAAAAAGTGTAGACAGGTCTGTTTTGCACAAAAAATCCCAACCCTTTTGCACACGATCATGTATACCACGCAAGCCCTGACCAAGCCTCACTGTGGGTATTGTCTACACTACAACACTAATTCGAACTAACTTAATTCGAACTAGTTAATTCGAACTAAGCTAATTCGAACTAGTGCATCTAGACCTAAAAACTAATTTGAATTAGCATTTTGCTAATTCGAACTAGCATGTCCACATTAAGTGGACCCTGAACCTAAGTTAAGGATGGCCGGAACCAGTGCCGGCAGGGCATCAGGTTAGGACTTAGAGCGTGGAGCTGCTGTCTCAGGCTAGCCGAGGGCTGTGCTTAAAGGGACCCGACCCTGACCCCGACCCTGGACAGACAATTCTCAGGGTTCCCCACTTGCATGTCTAACTCGATAAGGGACAGCAAAGCAGTCCTGACTTGGAGTGCCCTGAGTACCTTTACTCAGCACATCACAGCACTCGGCCATCAGCCTGGCTGCACTTGCTGCAGGCTGCCATCCAGGGGAGTCAATCGGGGGGCTGTCAGGATCCAGGAGGCCCTGCAGGAGAGCTTCCACCCTGAGGAGCCCGCAGAGTCACCCCAGTCCTCCCCATCGGGGGCTCGTGCCCCATTCCTCCCTCTCTTCCTTCCACTTACCCTTCCCTAGCCCCCCTTCCTGAGGTAAAAAATAAAGGACACGTGTGCTCAAAAATAGAAACTCTCTTTACTTGACAAAACTGGGGTGGGGAGACTGGGAAAAGGAGGTGGGAGAGGGGAAGAGAGAGGGTGGAAGAGGGGAGGGGGAAACCTGAGAGGAGGGAGCTGGAAGGGGGAAGCCAGGGGAAGAAGGAAGAGAGCAAGCATATAACTATGGTACACCATATCTTCAGTACTGTGTACAGATGTGGTCTCTTCACTTCAAAAAAGATATTTTGGCCTTGGAAAGGGTTCAGAAAAGGGCACCTACAATGATTAGGGGTTTGGAACAGGTCCCATATGAAGAGAGGCTAAAGAGACTGGGACTTTTCAGCTTAGAAAAGAGAGACTGAAGGGGAATATGACAGGTTTATAAAAGCATGAGTGGTGTGGAGAGGGTGAATAAAGAAAAGTTCTTCATTAGTTCCCACAATAGAAGGACTAGAGGACACCAAATGAAATGAATGGGTAACAGGCTTCAAACTAATAAGCGAAAGTTCTTCTTCACAAAGCAAAGAGTCAACCTGTGGAACTCCTTGCCACAGGAGGCTGTGAAGGCTAGAACTAGAACAGAGTTTAAAGAGAAGTTAGATAAATTCATGATGGTTGGGTCCATGGAGTGCTATTAGCCAGGGAGTAGGAACGGTGTCCTTGGCCTCTGTTTGATGGATGGCACGAGACAAATGGCTTGGTCATTGTCTTCGGTCCATCCCCTCTGGGGTAGCTGATGTTGGCCGCTCCGGGGCCGGGAGTGGGGCAGAAGAGTTTCCCTGGTTTGGCCCAGGGAGGCCACCAGGGAAAGCTGGGAAGGGCTAGCCTCCCACTAGGTCGAATTAAATGGCTACACAGCCCTTAATTCGAACTACTTAATTCGAACTAGGCATTAGTCCTCGTAGAATGAGGTTTACCTAGTTCTAATTAAGCGCTCCGCTAGTTCAAATTAAGTTGTATGTGTAGCGCCTATGAAAGTTAATTCAAACTAACGGCTGTTAGTTCAAATTAACTTTGTAGTGTAGACATACCCATGCAGACTCAAAATTACAATAATGTAATATAAGACTTCTTTTACTTACTTTAGCAGGTGCAGGGTCTGCTGGCTGGGTGCTGGCAGGCTTGCAACCGGCACGAACACTGTAGCCAGACCGTGCCCCTTTAAGGGCTCCGGGGCTGGGAAGGGGGCAGAAAAGTTTCCCTGGTTGTGCCCAGAGTGGCCACCAGGGCAACCTGGGAGGGGCTAGCCTCCAACTAGTTCAAATTAAGTGGCTACACAGCCCTTAATTCGAACTACTTAATTCGAACTAGGCGTTAGTCCTCGTAGAATGAGGTTTACCTAGTTCGAATTAAGCGCTCCTCTAGTTCAAATTAAATTCGAACTAGTGGTTTGTATGTATAGACGCTATTAAAGTTAAGTCGAACTAACGGCTGTTAGTTCAAATTAACTTTGTAGTATAGACATACCCTTTGTGAGCACCTCCTTGGTGTCAGGGTCGGCAGGCCTGCGCTGGCTCTGGCTACGAGTGGTGACCAGTGTAGACTCACTGGTTTTGTGCTGTAGTGCCCCACAATTCCCAGGAACCGCTTCGCTCTGTCTCCAGCAGGCTAGGCTCTAAGGTGTGGGCCCGTGCATTGCAGTCGTACCAGACCTTCTGCTTCCTTTGGGCCCTGCTCAGGTTCTCTCTGGCCAGGCCCATGAGCTCAGCGAGTCTTTCCCGGAAGGTCAGGACGTATTCCACTACTGACTCACCCTCCGGGGAGGCCTTCCCCTCCCACTCATCTCTCAGTAAGTCCAGGGGTCCCCATATCTGCCTCCCATAGAACAGCTCGAATGGTGAGAAACCCGGGGACTCCTGGGGCACCTCCCTGTATGCAAACAGCAGGTGGGGTAGGTACTTGTCCCAGTCCTGTGGGTGCTGGTGCATAAAGGTCCGTAGCATCTGCTTCAGAGTCCCATTGAATCTCTCCATCAACCCGTTGGTTTGGGGGTGATACGCCGAGGCCCAGGTGTGTTAGACCCCACACTTCTCCCTCAAGCACAGGAGCAGGGCCGACACAAAGTTGGATCCCTGGTCCGTGAGAACCTCCTGGGGGAACCCCACCCTGCTCAAAATGGTTGGCAGTGCATCTGCCACTGTGTTTGCCTCAATAGAGGGCAGAGCTATGGCCTCGGGGCAGTTGGTAGCCAAATCCACTGCTACCATCATAGGCATGGGCACGGGGTTCCCCCGCTCCTACACCCCCGTAGCAGCCAGAACAGATTCCGCCAGGAGCAGAATAGAGGGATTTAATTGCTTCTCCAGGATACAGCACAGCATAGACGTGGTGTGATTACAGGATTCGGGCCCCTTGGGTTAGGGGTCTATCACCCAGCAACCTCAGTCTGTCTCTCTCAGGGTTCCAGCCCAAGACTGCCCCTTCCCCCAGCACACTCTTCCCGTAACTTGTGGAACTGGTTTTAGCCACTGCCCTGGGGTGGTAAGGCACCCCCTGCTGGGCCGTGCTTACAGACAGCTGCCAGTGGGGTCCCCCACAGCCCAAGCATAGAAACTAACAAGGTACTAACACTACACCACAGAGTGTAAAGGGTTAACTGGGTACCTGGTAAGCATTAATCTTACCAGCATACTTACCTGGTGACCAGTTAGCTAGCTAGCCCTGCCCGACCGGAGCAGTTTTTGCCCACAACATGGTGCAGTGGGCTCGGTCCTGCCAGGTTGGAGCAGCTCCTGGTGTGGCGTGGTAGGCCTGGCCACGCTGGAGCAGCCCTTCAGGGTTAACCGGTTAATCACACCGTTGACCTGGTTAACATTTTAAACGGGAATTTACATCCCTTCCCGGATGGACTGAAACCTTTTCCCTGGGGACTGAAACCTACCCAATTCAGTTCACACAAGCCACCAGGTTCTAACACACAACCAGCTGTTGATCTAGGCCAGGCTGATGACAAGTGACCACGCAAGGGACTGGATCTCTCACGCTGTCAAGCCCCCTCCGTTCTTAATCCCCGGCGTGTATTTTTTCTAAAGAGCCAGTCCTACACCTGAACTTTGCCCATTCGCTGTAGCCAGGGGGCTCGCCTGTAGCCCACTACTCTGGCAGGCATAAGCCAGAGCAAAAGAGAAAAGGAAAGTGTTACAGAAAAACAGATTTTACCATGTGCTTGAGGTTGACTTTGAATAGGGGGTATATGAGTGGTCAGATTTCTTATATACCAGTTGCTGTGTGTAACCTGAAAAGGAGAAAGAAAGGCCTTTGAAATGTGTTCTGTATTCTCCTGCCTTACTCCGCCCACCTGCCCTGCTCCTCTCTCCAAGTCCACCCTCCCCCTTTTCATCCCTTTTCCAATGGATCATCTCTACCTTCAGCGAGCTGGTGGTCATGTCCCCCATCCCGTTTGCTCCCAGCAGTCAGTTTGACTGGGAACCCAGTTCAGGAAGCACCCGAGCACTCCAGAGGCAAGCGACCATGTCACGGCTGGCTGAGGACATGTCTTCACCGCCCTCTGGATCAATGGGCAGTGAATCACTCCAGCAGGGGGCGATAGACACGCTAAATAGACCACCCAGTGCTCTCCCATCGACATCAGTACTCCACCAAAACGAGAAGAGTAGGCGGAGTGGGCAGGAAAGCGGGTATACCATGGTAAAGAGACTGCCGTGCGCAGGTCTAAGCACACTGGCTTCCAATGCATTATTCGTGTGGCTGAAGTTGCAAACTGAGGGCTGACGGCCTGTGGCTATATAGACAAGGCCTAACGCTAATGCCCGCGTCACAGCTAAACTCCAGCTAGTGCAGGCCGAGCTGTGAGCCGGGCACGGTGCAGGGGCTACCCAGAAGGAAACGGAAGGGGCAGCACAGGCTGTAGAGAGAGGAAAAAACTTAAAAAACAACAAATAGTCTGTGAATGGCAATTAGAGCTTTCTTCAGAGAGAGCATCCATGCCATCTGGCTGCTCTCTGGAGCCAAAGCACATAGCTTTTCTGATGCACTTGTGCAGGGTGGACGTGCTCTTGCACCAGAAGTTTTGGCGGAAGATCTCTTCCACAAAAAAGCTTCGTGCTGCAGAGGCCTGTAGTGTAGCTGTAGCCCTAGAGAGGTGTGGCAGTTACACCTTTCACCCAGCGGGGCGACAGTGGCACCAAAACAGAAGGCAGCTGCTTCTAGGCAGGAGCAGCCCCTGTTGTGGATAGGGACCGGTTTTGTTCAACATCTTTATTACTGACCTGGATGAGGGGATGGATTGCACCCTCAGCAAGTTTGCGGATGACACTAAGCGAGGGGGAGAGGTAGATACGCTTAAGAGCAGAGATAGGGTCCAGAGTGACATAGACAAATTGCAGGAATGGGCCACAAGAAATCTGATGAGGTTCAACACGGACAAGTGCAGAGTCCTGCACTTGGGACAGAAGAATCCCAAGAACTGTTACAGGCTGGGCACCAACTGGCTAAGGAGCAGTTCTGCAGAAAAGGACCTGGGGATGACAGTGGATCAGAAGCTGGATATGAAGCAAGTCATGCCAAACTAATCTGATAGCTTTCTTTGATAAGATAACGAGCCTTGTGGATAAGGGAGAAGCGGTGGATGTCGTATACCTAGACTTTAGTAAGGCATTTGATACGGTCTCGCATGATATTCTTATTGATAAACTAGGCAAATATAACTTAGATAGGGCCACGATAAGGTGGGTGCATAATTGGCTGGATAACCGTAGTCAGAGAGTTGTTGTTAACGGTTCTAAATCCTGCTGGAAAGGGATAACAAGTGAAGTTCCTCAAGGGTCTGTTTTGGGACCCATACTGTTCAATATCTTCATCAATGATGTAGATATTGGGATAGAGAGTACGCTTATTAAGTTTGCAGATGATACCAAACTGGGTGGGGTTGCAACTTCTTTGGAGGAGAGGGACATAATTCAAAATGACCTTAGCAAGTTAGAGAAATGGTCAGAGGTAAACAGGATGAGGTTTAATAAAGAGAAATGCAAAGTGCTCCACTTAGGAAGGAACAATCAGTTCCATACATACAAGATGGGAAGCGACTGTCTAGGAAGGAGCATGGCGGAAAGGGATCTAGGGGTCATAGTGGACCACAAGTTGAATATGAGTCAACAGTGTGATGCTGTTGCAAAAAAAGCAAATATGATTCTAGGTTGTATCAACAGGTGTGTTGTAAGCAAAACTCGTGAAGTCATTCTGCCGCTCTACTCTGCACTAGTTAGGCCTCAGCTGGAGTACTGTGTCCAGTTCTGGGCACCACATTTCAAGAAAGATGTGGAGAAATTGGAAAGGGTACAGAGAAGAGCAACAAGAATGATTAAAGGTCTAGAGAACATGACCTATGAAGCCAGGCTTCATGAACTGGGCTTGTTTAGTTTGGAAAAAAGAAGATTAAGGGGGGACATGATAGCGGTTTTCAAATATCTAAAAGGGTGTCACAAGGAGGAAGGAGAAAATTTGTTCCTCTTGGTTTCTGAGGACAGGACAAGGAGTAATGGGCTTAAAGTGCAGCAGGGGAGGTTTAGATTGGACATTAGGAAAAAATTCCTAACTGTCAGGGTGGTCAAATATTGGAATAAATTGCCAAGGGAGGTGGTGGAATCTCCCTCTCTGGAGATATTTAAGAACAGGTTAGATAGACATCTGTCAGGGATGGTGTAGACAGAGCTTGATCCTGCCTTGAGGGCGGGGGGCTGGACTCGATGACCTCTCGAGGTCCCTTCCAGTCCTATTATTCTATGATTCTATGATTAAATTAACTGCTTGCTTACACTGATTATTCAGTTTGTGTAGGGGAGTTGAGGTGTTGGCCTAAATTGCCCTGTAGGCAGGATCTTATTGTGTTAATGGTTTCATGAAAGGACTTCTGATAAGTAACAATATTTTTCTGCTGTTTTTTTCTCTGAAGAAATTGATCATTTTTATAGCTAGCTGGAATGCAATAAAGCTCCCTCAGCTGCTGTTTAGCGATACTCAAAGATCAAAAACAAAACAGGCAAAGCAAACAGCTAATTTCATTAGTTTATTATGTGTAATTACTAAACTTAGAAAAGTTTAAAACATCCCTTTGGTACAAACAGAAGTTAATTCTGTCATATTAGTAATTAATATTTTAAAAAACGGTGAAACACTGGGATGGGTTCCCTGGGGAAGTGGTGGAGTCTCCATCCCTAGAGGTTTTTAAGCCTCGGCTTGACAAACCCAGTCTGGGTTGATTTAGTTGGGATTGGTCCTGCCTAGAGCAGGGGGCTGGACTTGACGACCTTCTGAGGTCTCTTCCAGTTCTATG